CCATCCACCTTGCTCCTTTGGGCCTTCACTTCATGGGCAACTAATCTATTTACTTTAAATAAAAGTTTACAAAAATACTTAACGGTACACAGATCGTATTTAGATTACAAAAATACATCACGATGCGCAGATCGTATTTAGAATCCATGGGCTATACTAGTCTATATATAGCAACATAATATCATATATTATATAAAAGTACCATATAATAAATCACTCAACATGCTTGCCTAAACTACAACATCAAATGTTCACAATTAAGGCAACACAATTCCTAAAATATCTCATATTTTAATTCATAATTAGATAATATCATAATATCATATATGGTTTCAAAAAAAGATAATATCATATATTATTCATAGCCATCCATAAATATCATATATTTTAAATTTGGCATGAGATAGAATCAAATCTTATTTTAATATGGAAAGATAAATCATATTTAGTTTCCATGATTATCCTAACTAACTTAGGAGATTTGATAGGCCGTCGTCGAGCCTACCAAAATATAAAATCCTATCTTGGTCTCACTAAGTAATAGTAAGGGTAAGAAAGGGTCGAACCCAAGAGAGGTGTTGAATCAACCACCGAGGTACTACCGTTTAAATAAGCTAAACGAAGTCGATATTGGTTTGGTTTTAAGTAACTTGTACTAGTTCAATTCAACTAAAACTAAGAGGAGATTAACAATAATTAGAGGAATCTAGGGCTCGGGTTATACCACTCAACTTCATTACAAACCACAATTAGCATGCACAAACAAGGTAAATTAATGGGATAAATTAGGGGAAGTCATCTAAGGCACCCAACCACTCTCTCAAGCTAGAGAGATCACTTGATTCGTGAATACAACCTACTCCCGTGGTTACAAAGCATAAAACAAGTGTTAAAGCATAATCACAATGACATAAATATTCCCTTGACCGGAAATTCCTATTCTCATGGCATTTCAAGTCAATCAAGCATAAGGGAGCTAACTCAAGTTCATCTCTCGATCCTTCGTTGAGGAAGCTTGGATAAATAGTTCTAGCAATGGCCATATACAAGAACTAAGCAATTAAACCACTTAAGCTCAACTAATTAACATCCTACAACAACCAATTAGCACATGCAACTATTTATTAGTGACTACATTGAGGGTTTTACCCAAACCCTAGAAATTAGACTACTCACAATCCATGGAGATTAAAGCAATTAAAGATTTCAAGCAATTCATGAACAAGTTCAAACTAAGGATTAAGCTAATTAACAATCTAAACATGCAAGAACTAGCAAATAATTAACAACAAAGTAAAGAGAAATGGAAAAGATGTGTAAGAAATGGTTACTATGAAGCTTCAAAGTGAGCAACAATGGTGGACTTTGTCTTCTACAATGATTGAAGTTGAATATTTCCAAGCTACAATTAGGAACTAACTAAAAATTTTGAGAGTTTTGATGTTTAAAAATTGCTAAACTAAGAGAAAGCACTAAAAACCTTCATAGCCCGTACAAATGAGCTCAAGGGGGGTATTTATAAGACCCCCAAATAAAAAGGACGGAAAAAACGAGGAAAAAGTTCGACTGTAGGTCTGCACGGACGTGCCAGATTTGGCACGGACGTGCAGAGAGGCCAAAAAGAGGGTAGTAGCTACTGCCAAGGTCTGCACGGATGTGCAGATTTTGGCACGGACGTGCCATCATCTTGCACGTCCGTGCAAAATGCCCTGCCTAGACAGCTTAACTTTGGGATGCTATAACTTCTTCTTTTCTTGCCGGAAATGGACTTGTGACAGTCGTTGGAAAGCTCTTGAGACGAACTTTAATCTCCAATTTGAATCGCTTCAAAAACTAGTTGAGTAAATCAAAAGTTATGGTCGGTTGAAGTTGAGCTTACACAAACGACCTTTCGAGGTTCTCCAAAAGCTTTTCATTTCCCTTTAAGGCATTCCTCCTTCTTCTTCCATGGCTTTATCAACCAAGCTTGCCCTTATCCTTGCTCACTCATGCTTGATCATATCCATAGTGCTAAAAATAGCTACATTACATCAAAAACACAAACAACCCGTGAAGCATGGATGATACAAAATTTGCATAAAAATAGGATAATAATGATTTTTGATGTCGATTAATAACGAAAACAAGGTTCAAAAGTACCCTAAAATCATGCCAAATAACAAGTTATCAAGATTCTATCCTAATTACTAGCCAATCAAATAATTTTAAAATCAGTTATTTCCAAATCTAATTATGGGATAATCACATTATTTAAATCAATTATTATCCTTTCAGAATATGCTCAAAATATCTTAACAAATCCTATCCAAAATTAACCACTTTAATTATGGATAATCCCCAAATTAACAACTTTTGAAATTTGATTTTATCCCTAAAATAAAATCTGATTTTATTTCGAAAATATTTTTTAATTTTTTTTTTTGAAAAACACCCCACCACTGCTAACCACCTTGGCTGGCCAGCAAAAGCTAGCCACGGTGGCTGGGTGCATATCAGCACCCACTGTCGTAAGGCAGTAGCGGCAACAACACTGTTGTTGGCTGCAGGCCACCGTGCGTGGCCAGCCAAGGCTAGCCAAGGTGGCTGGCTGCTTTTCAGCAGCCACTACCGCATATAGGGTATTGTAGGACTTTAGGTACTATAAGCGGAATTTCATGAATCATATTCATACGCACCTAAGACAAGATCGCATGCATAACACACAAGAATCACATAATTATACCTTTGAAGCCTGATCTCCATGTAGCAATTGATTGGCAAATTAGGGAGCGAATAGAGCCCCAAGCGTGACTCCTCTACTTAGTCCACGTGATTTGATCAAGCGTCCACCAATACTAGATTGGTTGAGTGAAAGGGAAAACCGCGATCACCACCTTTAATGGACAACTGGCACCACCACCACCGTGCAAACCACCGACGCTGAGGAGGAGGAGAGAGCCGTGAGAGAGATAGAGGAAGTTTGAGGAGGTTGGTCTCGTGTTTGCTAATTAGTGTTTGATCTCACTGATCATGAATTCTATGTTCAACCCTAGGCACCTAGTCTATTTATAATCATAATATAATTAGGCTAGGAAGCAAAGCCTAAAGCCCTACTAATTCCTCCTCATGGCAACCACCTAAAGTGATGAGGCCCATCATGGGGCCTTGTCCTCTTATGCTTGATGTAGGCCCTTTGTGTGACCTTATAGGACCTATTTAATTGGGCGTTGACCTATTTTACTAGCCCAAAGATCGTTAGTACCTCTAGCTATGATGTAACGACGACCCAAAAGAGCAAACTTAATTATCTCCATAATTTGATCCATTATATATCTAGTAATTGCACTTGACGAAGACATAAATCCTTCAGGTATTACATAAGATAGCTATCACCAATCATCCATGGACCTTGAGTCATCACAAAGTCATAATCTTCCATTGAAGTAAACCTGACCACATAAAAGGCACACCCTAAATCCGTCAAGGCTATCTTTCCCTTAGTCCCTTCAATTGCCCAAGAGATTTCATACGTCGAATCAGGACAACATATCCTAATTTCTTATCAAATAATTTGATAATCAAGGACCATTTCCACGGGCGGCTTCGCCGTCGTTTTCCCTCCTTAGTCAACAGAATCAGTGGACACCCTTCATCCTATGAGTCACATTCATAGGCCTGGTCATCATCCGATACATCATCCTCTTCTTCTCTAGTGGAAGTCAGGATCCTTGGATTTCCTTGTTTTCTTGCCATCATACTATATGAAAATAGTAGGTTTCTCCACTCTTGGGGTTGTCTCATTTTTGCCAATATCCATCTCATCCCTATTATCTTCTACCCTCACATTAGTAGGTTGCACTGCCCTTTTGACTTATTTATTAAATCGGCGTAGCACATCCGCCTCTTCCGAGGAGAGTTCATTTTCTCAATGTTCGCTCATTTTCTCTTTTAATATAACAACCAACAATTGATATTGCGTTGCAAGTCTCACTTGACACTCCAATGGTGGGATAATAAAAAAGTCATTTTATATGTCGAAAGACCGGCAAATGGTGGTATTATTTTTGACAAATATTCATTTAACTATGACCATATTATATGCTAATCTATGTGATCCACTTTGTAACATATAGAAAGGCCTTTTGTTATAAAAAATTTACCAAAATGGAGAGGGAACAACTATCTCAAAACACATTAAAAGGAAACATGAAACCAAAAAAAAAAAAAAAGTTTTTAGGTATTGAGTGATACTACTCAAATATTTAACCAACCAAGCTATTTAAAATCCCACTTGTTTTAATTCTAAGAGTTAGTTTTTCATAATATGATGCATAGTAGATATCAATGAGCCTACATGGCAAATTATCGGAAGAATAACATAGATTCTATACCTTAAATATAAATGGTCAGTTTGGGTATTTGATTATCCGTAAAATTAGTAGTAGTACCTAAAACAAATGCCTAAAGATCCTTTCGGCATCATTGTGGTTCATAGTTTTTGATTTTTAATTTTGAAAGTCATATGATATATTTCTTAAAAAGAATAAAAAAAAAAAACTGGACAAATTTATTAGAATCATCATTATTTTGAAAACTGTGAACAAAAAAAGTTCAAATCACATTTTGTGATTTTTTGTTTTTCAAAAAACAGAAAACTAAAAACAAAAACAAAAACAAAAACAAAAAAAGCTCTAAATTTTCAAGGGTTTTCGTGTTATCAATTTGATCATCTTCAAGATTATTGCACTCTCTATCCAAATGGCCACATATTCAATAGTTATAACAATCAAATCATGAATTCATGATTATCGAATTCTAAACCCCCTATAAAGAAAGATAGTTGAAATTCTAAATTCGAAATCTTATGTAATAATCCTCACTTTAAAACCAACTAAAATAGTTAAAACTTCACCAAAAATTTTCAAAAGTTAGTTTTTCTCCTAACTACTCATGATCCATTTATAAATTTCATGTTGACAAACCAATTTTTTTTTAATAATTATTTAAATAAAAAAAACCTACCACATTATTTAATGTCATTTTCAATTTCCTCATTACACACTCACTTGTAAAATCTGGTCTAAATAATACATTTGTACTTTTGCGCACCACACCACACCCACATCAAATTCCGCCCTCTTCTTCCTCCTTCCTCAGCTCCCTTCTCTGCTTTCCTCCATCTTCAACAAAATCTAGGGTTTTTCTCTTTCTCTCTCTACTTTCTCTATCCTCCCTTTCACTCGATCACCTCCCAAATCTCGCCTTTTCTTCTCCCACCTTTTTGCCCCCTTTTCCCTCTTTCAATTCCAGTCAATTTCTGGGGTTTCCACTAGATCTGTCCGCCATTTTTGCGCACCTTCAAGTTCCGAGCTTTTTGGGTTTTCTCTCTTTGTCTTCCCCTCTTTACTGGCTGATTCTTCGTCATGTTTTGGAAGCTCACTGCCTTGTCTGCTTCGTCGCCGGTATGTTTGTTAACTTGCTTTCAAATTTTGAATCCGGGGTTGGGTTTTTTTAGCTTCTTGTTCTTAAATCGTGTTTAATTTTTGATCTGTTGGGTTTAATTTGTATTATTGTTCGTGGCTTATGCTGTATTAGATGTGTTTGGGATTTATTGAAATGTTCAAAGTTCAATGATTGATGATATTTGGATGGGAGTTGAACTGTTAGATTCGGGTTTTGAAAGTTTTTAGATGAGTTATGGAGGATTTAGCTTGATTTTAGTTCTTTGGGGTTCTATTTTTACTTGGTTATTTGAATAAGTTAGATAAAATCTTCCTCATTATTGGCTTCTCTCCCTGGCTAATTCCAGTTTATTGTGTGTTCCGAATTGGACCTCCTATGCCGTCGACGTTATTCCTAGGGTGTGATCGTTTGAGACATGTTGGTATCTATTTTGGGTGAGGAAGTTGCTGAAGCTGAACAAATCCCACATCCTTATGCCCTTAATTATCATTGTATTCATGCTGTTCAAATTAATGTTGCTGAACAAATCCCAATTTTTTTTCCCTTAATTGCCCTTGTATACGTGCTGTTGAAATGAATGTTCAGAGACATGCAATGTTACTAAAGAAATTGAATAATTGCTATATTCATTTTAGTTTTTTAGAGGCAAAACCAATTGAATTAGCCTACTTTTCATGTTGTAGCAATCAGCAAGGTAAGGCACAATAAAACATCCTCTCACATTTTGTCTTAATGCTCTCCTATGACAACAATGTATTACACTTTATTCCATAGTCTTTTTATGTGCGAACCAAGCGTTTCTAGATTGCTGAAGTAACGCCGAAAACTTTTAGCTCTTGTGTTTCATCTTTTTCTGAAATTTTTTAAGATTCAGTTGAGTGAAATCCAATCTTGGTCAGGTGAAGAGGTCTAACTAATATGGTGTACATCTGCTGAATTAATCTAATGAATCAGACTGAGTTTTTTGATTCATAGGAGGGGACACTTTATTCTTCTTTTTCTTTTGTTGAGGTTTGGAAGGAAAGTTCTCCCTTCGTCCCTTATTATTTGCCCCATTTTCTTATTAGATTTTTTTTTTTGTTTTTAACTTTTTTCTCTTGAGTTGGGTACAATTCTCAGCCACCGTTTTTTTTTCCTCTACTATATTGTGTGCATAAAATCTTGTGCAAATTTATATGGGTTAAGTAAATAAGGATAGAGGGAGTATTATTTTTTTTTTGACTAAACTAGAATGTTAGTTTGGTATATATTTGCTTGTGTACAACAGTAAAATATACAAGAAGTAAACAAGTTATAATGGGTTCCTGGAAATTGTGGTAAGTTTTCATTTTTTAAAGTAGAGGCAGAAGGGGATTCCCTTTTCAAGTGGAAATCATCTTGGTCTCGTACTTCCAGGCTGTACTTTTTCTGTACTTTTGCTTGGATAAAAATCAATTAACTTTCTTGTAGAATTCTATCACATCTTGAAAGAGTTGCTTTTAATCTTAAAGAAAGAAATTATAATGCAATGTGTCCCTCAGAAATAAGTAGGGTCTTTGCATCGAGACTTCCATTAGTGACATTCTTTTATATTGTTAAGAAAAATACTTTATACACTGGTTCCTTGGTAATTAATAATGGTTTGGATCAGTAATAAATTGGAATGATTTTTATTATAGTTGCCTAAAGAACTTAGTATTTAATCTGATTTACTCACTGCTTCAGGTTGTTGACGCTTTACATTTTTTTCTTTGTCTAGGTTGATACTATATTAGACAAGGACAACTTCACTTTGGAAGAGCTGTTGGATGAAGAAGAAATAATCCAAGAATGCAAAACTTTAAACAGTCGCTTGATTAACTTGTAATTGATTCTTTTCGGAGTGATGTTTGTTATTTCCTTTATGGTTTCCATCTACCTTTTTAATTAATATTCAAGTTTGTCCCTGGTCATTTTGCGGAGATCCTATGTGTTTCTGTTTTTTAATCTTTTTGATTGTAAAATTCCTCCAGCTTACGGGACAGAGCTCAGGTGGAGCAGCTTTTACGCTATGTTGTAGAAGAACCTCCAGAGGATGCTGACAGCAAACGCACCTTCAAGTAAAACACTTTTTACATCTTAACTGCATTTTTTTATATGCATTTGTTGATAGCTGTTTTATGTGGCGCTATGTAGTTTAATTTATTGTGTGAATTTGACTACTTAATGTTCCAGTTTAGCTGTTTCTCCTGTCATGCTTTGGTCCTTTAAATAAATAGGTGAATAAATCATTCTACAGTCACTAACTTCGGAGGAGTAAAGGAAGCTATTGGTTTCCAAGCTCAAATTTCCTTTTCAAACGTTAATCTTCTTTGTCTGAACTAGCTGTTACTGTAACTAACTTAGTGTCGTTGCCTGTAACTTCAATTGAAGCTCCTTAGATTTCTCCTTTTCTTGCCTTTTGACTTTTAAAGTTGCTCGATCAACTTTCTTGAGCTTCTTAAATTATATTACTACAAGAAATGCAGCCCTAAATTGCAAGTGAAACTCTGTTTGATGGTAATTTATTTGATGTCTACCATTGTTGAGAGGAAGTACTTTTGAGGGTATGACAAACTGATTTTGGATGAATGCTGTGCAATGCTTGATTGATAAGTTTTAAAGGGCTAATTTGGGTAGCTGAGATATAAGCTGATACTTGATAGTTATTTCAAGGGAAGCTCTTTGGTTATTCTTTGAGCCTTTGACAATAGTTGTTTTTGGATGAATGATGTGCAATGCCAACTCTCATTGCATGGTTTGATCCTTAAAAATTCCATATGATGTGTGATAATGGCCCATCTGAAAACTCATGAAGTTTGTATTTTGCTGTTGCTTGGTATTGTAGGTTCCCATTTGTGGCTTCAGAGGTTTTTACATGTGAAATTGATGTCATTTTGAGGACATTAGTGGAAGAGGAGGAGGTATGGTTTCTGTTTGTCCATCATGGTCTTACCTTTCCGGCTTTCCCAAAAAAGAATCTAGCACATTTATCTTTATTTCTGATACTTTTCAGATGATGGATTTTCTCTTCTCATTTTTGGAACCCAACCGACCTCATAGCGCCTTGCTTGCTGGGTATTTCAGCAAAGTATGCCATGTTTTTATTTATTTATTTTTAATTTAATGTGATGATGTTCTTGCTGGTGCTGCTGCACTGTTTCTGCTGGAAGCTGATGTTTTGGTTCCATTTTGGCATAATAGGTTGTTGTGTGTCTCATGTTGAGGAAGACAGTCCCACTCATGAACTATGTGCAAGTAAGTGTTCAATTACTCACATCTCTCTTTTTCAAACCCAAAAATAGAGCCTGTAGCTTCAATCAAACGTCAAAGAGGTCTTTGATGACTTGCTTAACCTCGAAGGTGTTCAAGTGTCGTCTTGCATCGTCCATGCCTTGCTTAAATTACGTATTTATGTGGTTTTTGTTCAACAGGCTCACCAAGATGTTTTCCAGCAGCTGGTTGATTTGATTGGAATTACATCCATAATGGAGGTCAGTTACTCTGATAGTTTTGGTCCCTCGGTCAATAATGATCATGGTTTGTTCTTAGTGGGTGTTGTGCTGGTTATTGTTTTCTGGACAGGTCTTAGTTCGACTTGTAGGTGCTGATGATCATGTTTACCCCAATTACATGGATGTCATGAGGTGGTTAGCTGACAGTAATTTGCTGGAGATGATAGTTGATAAATTGAGTCCTTCTGTAAGTGTAACTTGTGCTCTTGTTCTCCTATATTGTATTCCTTTCTAAACTTTTTCTTAGTTTTTCATGTAAAAAATTTAATGTCTGAAGTGTGTATGGTACTAATGAGGATGGGAGAGTGCAAATCTGTTTCAAGGGTGGTGGTGGAATGATCGAGGTTATGAGGATGAGCCTTTTGTGTTTTTAAAAACTATGTGTTTGGATAAAGGCTGGTCTCATGCTTAAAAGCTCCTAAAAGCCATATTTTGACTATTCCCTACTTTACATGTCAGCAAGAAAAAACAGGGAGACATTTGGGACATAGAAAGGAGTTGGGAGGCAAGAACTATGTACAAAGTAATCACACTTTTTGGACATTGTTCACCGAGTAGAATTTTTTTCTTCCCCATACTCCCAAGAACCACTCTCTGCTTATGATAATAGATCAAATTCAAACCACAAGAGGATTGTTTTTCGTTTTTTCCTATTAATGACAGAATTTTTCTTAAGTGAGACAAGCTAAGTTTATGATACCAAATAGGCTGAAAAAGGGTACTAAGTCCCAAAGAAATCTAGCCTTTTCATATCCGTGTAGACGATGTTGTTTTACCTGGATTTTCTTTATTTGAACTTGTAAGACTTTAGATAAACCTATTTGTACTCAACTGAACTAATTTAGCTGCTAATAATCTTGGTAGCTCTTTTCAAGACTTGCCTAAACTTATCAGCTTTTTATTTTAGTTATATTAACCTTATCTTTATTTTGTTATTTCTGAAACTATTTTTTAACGGAAAAAGAACAAGGCCATAGTCTGTAGTAGTGACAGTGTATCACGTTCTCCTTTTGTTTGGTTCCCTTTTGCTGATGGTTTCTTTTCTCCTTTGTTCTTGTTCAATGAGTCAGTGCCCATCAGAGGTACAAGCTAATGCAGCAGAAACACTGTGTGCTATTACTCGGAATATGGGCTCGCCTCTTGCAGCAAAACTTTCCAGTCCCAGGTTTGTAGATCTATACCATCACTTTCTTGTATACTTATTTATGCTTACTATGCCCTCCATCCCTAAATAGATTTCACTCTTGGTTTTTGCATGGAGATTAAGGATAATGGATATAAAGGTAAACAGTATAAGAAAGTGTAGGGACGATGTAGAGTGGAAAAGAAAGAGAATTTACTTGGAAAGGCAAGTTTGAAATATGTGGGACATTCGTTGAAGGCAAGTGCGAAATCTTTTTAGGGATGGAGGTAGAAATTGTTTAAAAAATACAAACTAGTAACTGAAGGTAATTCCTTGTTATATGCAGCTTTGTTGAAAGGATCTTTGCTCATGCGCTCGAAGACTCCTCAACCAAGTCTGGTCTAGTACATTCCTTGTCTGTATGTATATCTTTACTGGATCCAAGAAGATCGACATCTTCTTTGTTGTACCATTCTCTACGAGGCCAACATATGTACGAGGCGCCTATTGCTGTAAATCCTGACACTGTGAGCGCAATGATACCTAGACTAGGTTAGTTTGAAACTCTATATATATCACTGCTATATGTAAATGTTCTACTGCTATGTTATCTTGTCAAATCTTTTATTGGATTAATCGATTAGAGGTCCTTTCTTACATGGTGTCCTTGTATTATTATTTTCTTTGTGTTTTCTTTGCCATTGCATCAGGCTTCTGTGTGTTTGTTCTCTTTTGTTTGCTATATCAGTGCTAAAGCTAATGGTGCCTTTTTTTAATTGATAATTATGCGCCACTCACTTTTTAAAAGTTATTTGTTTTTTTGTGTTCCACAGGTGATTTGCTAATGCTTTTGAATGTGACATCTGATGAGAAGATTTTACCCACACCATATGGTTTTCTAAGACCACCTCTAGGAAAACATCGGCTCAAGGTCTATTTCTCTCTGGCTTGCTCTGCGATGGGTACTGTTCTCTGTGATGTTTCAGTTCCCCCTTATATAATCACATCCAAAACGTCATCTTGAAATTGTCATTTTTTTTTTCTTTTGGGTGTAGAAAGAACATACAATTACCTGAATAATAAAAAAAAAATTGAAAAAGGAGATCAGGAAAGTTTAGTATGGCACTACTTCAATTTGGTGCTTGATGTGGCCCATTCTAGTCCTATGTAGAATTGAGAGTATGTTGTTCTCAAGTGTTTGAGCATAAGGTCCTATCACACCATATCTATTTTTCATCTAATGCATGGTGATTGAAATACATGGCAAATTTTCTAACTAATGCCACACAGTGATAATGGTACTGTGTCTTTCTGGTTATTTCAAGATAAATTGGTGATTTATTTAATTACCTGAGCAACACTACAGTTGGATATCAAGGACAAGGGTCCCTTCATGTATGAGGTTGAGCAAGGGCATGCAATCATGGTGTACATCAGATGAAGATAATCCTGAATAAGGCCAGAGATATGACATTAGAGATTTATATTCTTGAAGAAAAATTATCCTGAATAAGGCCATGGATTTATTTTTTATTTATTTATTTATTATTATTTTTTATTTTTTTTTACCATTCCTATCCAACTAAAATACCTGCAAAGTGGCCAACTTGCAAATATCTGAAGAGCCTTTGAAATATGAATCCCTATGCTAAGTGTGATCTTTTAATTTAAAGATTTCCAGCCGTATCATCTAGGAAAAATTCACCATGAAATTATGGGAAATTTTTTTGGATTACATCTTTTTTGTTTGTTTGTTTGTGTGTGTTTGTGATGATAAGGACCTTAATCTCTATTTCTTGATTAGGGAGGGTAGTGCTTCTTTCAAGAGTTTTTGACTTTCCGCTTTAGAAGGAACATTTGGTGCTTGGAAGTGGGCAGCTGGTGATGGAAAAGGCTTTCCTTTGGTTATCCTAATCAATTTGGTATCAAATAGTTTGGTCTGGGAACTAATGGTCTTGCAAAAGATTTAGATTTCCTTCAAATGGTTTATTTGGATACACACTCACACTGGTGACTAACTGTAGTTCTTTCAGCCATACAAAGTGCATTTTTCCTTGCAGATCTGTCTGAATATCACTTTCTTGATTTGAACACAATGTTCAGTTTTATCTTCTGCTTTTTTTTTTTTTTTGCTTTTTTTTTTTTTTATCATTGATGTTATATGTTATACTTCTTCCACTCTTTTTTGTTGACATGTTGTGACTTTTAACACAATTTGGAAGGTGGGGTACATGTGTGCTTAGTGGGTTGAACCCTTATCTTTCTATTGAGATATGGGTGCTAAAGTGTTGCCTAGCCTCACTGAATAATTTATTTTTCTTACAATCTTGCGCATGGAATTCATTGTCTTGATTATTATGCCTTTCCCAGATTGTTGAGTTCATTGCTGTTCTGTTGAAAGCTGGCAACCAAGCTGCAGAAGAGGAATTGGTGAACTCTGGAACCATCAAAAGAGTCTTAGATCTCTTTTTTGAGTGAGTTGCTGGTGCTCTATATTGTCCAAATTGATTGCTGTTCAAATATAATTAGTATCTATTGATGTTGATGTGGGTATAATTGACATTTCAGGTACCCATACAATAATGCATTACATCATCATGTTGAAAGCATAATATCATCCTGCTTGGAGAGCCGGAATGATACTATTATTGATCATCTTTTCAAAGTTTGTGATTTGATCAGAAAGATTCTTGATGCTGATAAGCATCCTATGCTTTCTAGTGATCGTGAACTGGTAAATCGACGGTGTTTTTTGCTTTCTTCAAACTTAATGATGCCAATGTTATGACTTACGATAGTTCTTCAAGTAAAAATCTCCTTGTATGTAGTGAAATTGTTGTTTTCTATAGGATGTTCATTTTTTTGGAAATCAAGTTGCTAACCAAGTGAATAAACAACTATAACATGGCCAAGGAAGTGTAACATGGCTAGATCTCAATATGAACTCAATGGCTGCTCACCATTTACTTTTTTGCTCTGTTGTAGACTTTTTCCTTAGCAGTGTAAACTGTTATTAAATATATAGATCAATGTACAAATCTTTAGTGTGTGAGACTCATGTATTTATTGTGAGATGCCTGAAAGTTACACCCAACAAATTAATATATCACCCTAGAATTAAAAAATAATGTCACACTAATCTTGCAGTTATTAGCATAGTGTATCATACTCTTGGACATGATTTTGCCTAGAGCATTGTGGTCATATGCTTCTTGGAAGATCTGTGAATTTCCTACCATCAGATGTTGTTGACTTTTAAGTATGGCACCATGTGTCACCGTAAGCAAATGCTTCTTCCCTTAGATCTGGTGACAGAATTGACAAATAAGCTTTTAATACTCAGGATAAAATGGGTCCACCATGTGTTGCTTGAATATATGGAGGAATTTTCATCTCTCAAACGTTTTGCATGTAAGGTGACCACTGTTTTGGTTAAACACTTTTTATGTTTAGAATTTAGATTATAAGAACTTCTAACACAAAGTAAAGTGTAATCAGCCTATTTACTTTTTTTGGTTTTGTTTTGTGTTTGTGTGTGGTGGATTTTTTTTTTTTTTTTTTTTTTTTTTTTTTTTTTTTTTTTTTGGGAGTATGGGGGATGAGTATAGGGGAAAGCTCTGGATTATTTAGCATATTAAAAAATATTATAGAAAGCTGTGGTATCTTTTGGTTGATGTTCTCTGTGCAACATCATTATTGCAGCCAACAGTACCTGCTGTTGATAAGAAGCTGCCAAGGGTTGGTAATGTGGGACATATAACTCGAATTGCTAACAAAATTGTACAACTTGGACAAGGCAACAGAAGCATTCAAACATATATTCAGGTGCATATAGTATTTTGAGGGCTTCAGACTCAGAAGTTTATTGATGCTTACTTTTTTAGGCATGTACTGTTTTTTTTTCAATTGTTTGACCATCTTGTTGACCTTTTTTCCTGTATATCTGGATTGTAGGAAACTGGTGAATGGAACGAATGGCATGCTTTAGTTTTGCAGGAAAGAAACGTGTTAGAAAATGTCTACCGTTGGGCGTGTGGGTATGTGTTAAATCATGTCTGAGATTGCTGTTGCTATAAATTATCTCGTTTAATATTTTATATAGCATTATTTTTCGGTTTTTGATTTCCACGAGGTGGCGATAGTTTGTGGTATGCCCCTCGATTTGATGTTAAGCTGATGTTACTTACAGCCCTACATTGCCCTTTTGCTTTACCCTTAGTCTTAGAGGATCTTTTTATAAACATGTCTCAATGGTCATTAACATTATTAAGGGTAATTTAGTGGCGTTGTGGTAAATAGCATATAAGCTCTATGCTTCTCCGGGTATATGCTAATCTTGGAGCAAATTTGTCAACATGTTTGTATTTGTTGTTGTCAATGGCTTGTGCCTCTTCATCCATGCATGTATGTGTTTTTATCATATAGCAAGGCAAACTGCAGCATTTTCAAAGAAAAATGTACTTCTCAAATTATCATATATTTAGAGCTGCACAAATTAAAAGACGAGGATGCAATCATGTACATGCTTTCTCATCTTCATGTCAGTTTGTAGAGGATTACTATTGTGGTGAGGAATATAACAGGAAGTTTCTAAGATCATTTCTCAAGGAGAAAAGTATTTCACAATGGGTGTCTGCCTTCCTGGTGTAGGCAAAATATTTGTTTGCCCACCTGTGTTTTTTAAAAAAAAAAAAATATTTCTTGATTTTGTAGCGTAGGTTTTGATTTTTTTTTTGCATTGTGGGTACTTCTTACTCATATAAACCTAAAATTTAACTTAGTATGCAAACTGAGAACTTAATAAAGTAGAGCTGGCCAAATGGGATTCAGCCTATCCTCGTACACGATACACCTATTTCTGAAAATTCGCTTATTCTAATGGACCAGTATAAGATAATTAATTTCATATCTCATACTATAGTCGTTAAAACACTTATTTTTAATGTGAATTTAAGAAAATGTCTCTAGATGTGCAGCTAATGATTCTCTCTTATCGTATTTAGCTAAGCAAATTAAGATAACATTCCGCTTTGAACTCCATGCCAAGAGAATTATGGTCGCATTAGTCATTTCTGTAGACACTGAACTTTGTAGCTTTTGGTCACCTATCCCCCCCCCCCCCACCCCCCCCCAAGTATTCTGTCATCCATGTTTTCAAAAAAGAATGGAATAATGCATTGATTTTGTTATGATGAAATTGCTAGCCGTGTTCCTCATGGTGGCTGTCATAGTGATTTTGTGTTCTTAGCAACTACATATATGAATTGACTCCAACTCATTTTTACCCCACTACATGCAGGCGTCCAACTGCATTGCATGACAGAACAAGGGATAGTGATGATGACGACCTTCATGATAGAGACTATGATGTTGCTGCTTTAGCCAATAACCTTAGTCAGGCTTTTAGACCTGATTTATTCGGGAATGAAGGTGCTGAAGAGGTATAGGGCTGCTTTGGCATTTAGTCTTGGTTATGCTTCATAGTTTATACCATCTGCACCTTCTTTCTTTTTTTTTTTTAAAAAAAAAAAACTTAGTAATATGTTATTATCTTTGTTGTTGCAGGACAATGGGGCTGTTGATCGGGATGACGAGGTATTAGAATAACATATTGCTTTGTGAAAAAGAGAAACACTAGAAAAGCGGCAAAGACCATCTTCAAATAGGGGGAATATATTTGCTAAATTAATCTTCTCTAGCTTATAGTTTTCTTCATGCCTATTTGCAGGATGTCTACTTTGATGATGAATCTGCTGAAGTTGTTATATCTTCATTGCGTCTTGGTGATGACCAAGGAAGGTATGATTTTTTTAGTAATGTGGTTTTGGCTTACATTAACCCATCTATGCTGTTAAATCATTTACTTGTTAACATTATAATGTTTTTTGTGACAGTAATACCAGTGTTGGTTTTACTGTGGTTTAGTGTAACATCTTGAGGGTGCCTTCAAACCTGTTTTCACTTTATATGTTAGATGTTTTTTTTTGGTGACTAATTTCATCTTTTAAGGTTTCTAGTGTTTGCATTGTCGATGAAGTAACAGGAAGCTATTAGATACTAAGTGTAAAGTTTGGCTTTTGGCATCATCATTTAATGATAATATCAATGTCAACATTAATATTATGACTCTAAAGAGGTTCCTGCTATTTTTGGGGCCTGTGGGCTGGATGTACATATTTGTCCCTGTTAAGGTGCTGTTTCCAATTGATCACTGATTCAATACACAAACACTTTCCTACTAAACAATTCATAAGCACATGAAGTCAACTTTAGACCTTTAGTCTACAATATAATAATGAAAAATGCAATGGCCACCATAGTATTGTTGTAAATGTTAATTTACAAAGTTGAACTGTTGAACTAAACCATTAGAGAAGATAACTGATGAAACATGAACATTATATTCATATTTTTATTTTTTTTTCACTTTGATTCTACTCTCTCCATTCCCAAATAAAAGTTCTATTTTCTTCTGCACACATATTTAGAAAGCTGAATAAAATGAAGATTATAGGGTTTGGTTAATTAAAGGTGAATATAAAATACAAAAATAGTGGGTTTTGGCTGATCAAAAGTGAATAAATATAGAAGATAGTGGGGTTTAATTGATTAAATGTGAAAAAAAATAGATAAGGTGAAGTGGGACTTTTATATAGGCCCAAGACCTTTGGGTAAATGGGACTTTTATTTGGGGATAGAGGGACTGGTAAATTTTTCAACCTGATGCAATATGGGGTAGGCACAATCGGTAAGATGGTCTGTTCTTGGACAAGACAAGTTAGGGATACAAGGTGGATTTCTCCAAGGCAATGTGTGACTTCCTTATTTTTATAGCCAATGGCAAAAACATCTGTGTTGTAAAATCCTTTGAATGTCTTGATTGTGATAGTAGGCAAAGATTTTTTTAAACTACTCGTTCATGATCCAAAGGCTGATTGTAAATTGGCTGTAATGAGCTTAATGTCCCATGCCTTGCGAATTAATATGCTAAAGCATGTGGTTTGTTTTCTCTAGTTGCATTGCGTCTTGGCCTTAAATGCTCTGCGTTTGTTTTTTTAGCTCTTCCTGACATCCACGTGTATGGATTTGGATGCATGAGATTGAAATCTAAAATGTTTTTGTCTAATGCAGTTTGTTCACAAATTCAAATTGGTTTACTTTTAAAGACGAGCGAACTGATGATACACCAGTGAGTACCTCTCTATCTGATGCAATGGATGATATCAGTTTGAACGGAATTGTAAATGGTGGGAACAGCAGCAGTGATGACGAGGTTGTTGTCGGTGAGGATGAAGAGTTGGCCGATGCTAAAGACTCCACTAGTGGCACATCCAGCTCCGAGCAGAGTGATATGCATGTATGTGGAAAAAATCCAGTTGATGACGAAGAGAGTAAGATTTGCAAGGTGGACCCTTCCCTTGGGGCAGCAACTGCTGGATCTGATTGTTCTGATACTAAGGACCAAATTGCAGAAAGGCCTGCACCAGATTGGGTGAATTGGGGTGAAACATCAGGTTTGTTGGTTGATGGATCGAGTACCAACCCATTTGTTGATCATGTGCACCCTGTTAGTGATTGCAATGTGGATGAGGTGGTGATACCTAACAAAAGCTCTGAAAATGGGGAAGTCACACTGCCAAATGGCACTTCAAGAGTTGAAGACTGCAGGGAAGCATCAGCTAATGGTGATTTAAGCCAAAAACCTTCTGCCGCTCCCTCATTATTTGAAGAGGATGTAGAGTTTGTTGGTGTTGAACCTGAAGGTACGGAGAAGGCAATGGAACAGGCACTAAAGGAAGGAATAGTTGGTGAAGCAGGGCCTTTGAAGAAAAATGTTGTACCATCAAAAGTATCGGAGGAGAAGCCTGATGAAGGTGCACCAGGGACAGAGTTCAATGATGCAAATTACTGGAGGGTTGAACAGGAGGTTTCTGTTCTTGAGTGAAGCTAGCTGATTTATCAGCGTATGATGCTAAGCTTGTTCTAGTGCTGCCGATCCCCCTTTCCAAAATGGCAAATGCATTTAAGCCAAACTTATGTACAGTATGTCTTTGGCTTTTCTTTGTGGAGGATCAAATGATAATTTATCCACTGCTTAATTTTGTTTTTTCTCATTGCATATGTTCTGTCCATTATTCGAGCTGTGTTGATGTTTTGGCATATTTAGTTCTTTTTACCTATATTTCTTTCTGGTCCAGCAAATCTGTTAAGGATTGAGTTTCCAATATGAGATCAAAACTCAGACATAAATTGTAGTCTTATCATAGTATTAATGGAGGGGACCTCCATTTATCCGGTTTTGTGCAGATTTTTTTTTTCCTGTCAAACTTTCCACAGTTTTGCGGGGAAGGTTGTTGGTTTTGACATGAATTTTGTATTTATTAACTTGCAATAGTGTTAGCATTGGATGCAGATGTATTTGCTATTCTGGTCTACGGTTTGTTACTGTTTTCCAGGTCTTTGATTGGAATTATAAACACTGGCTGAGTGAAGTGAATATTTCTTCACAAATTTGTGGTAATCTCTTCATTCTGCACTTTTAGAACGAATGTCGAAATGCTGGCTTTATCTTAAGTCTTTCCGCCATTACACCCATAGGCCCCAGGAGTTTGCTACCTATTGATTATTGCAAGGCTGAAATTCGTACGCATTGAGGGCTTTGCTAAACTTGTGGAGCGTAGTATTTTTTTTTTGCTTATCTCAAATGTAGTCAGAAATATGTGATTTTGTTGCATGTATAAGCTTTGTGATCATAGTTCCTTGTGTCGAAGCAGCGAGCGATTTTTCCGACCGATAATTGGTATTTAACGTGGCGGATTACATCATCTTTAAGTATAAGTTGGTTTTATTAAAGTCTCAGATAATATTGTTTTATTTCTTCAATAAATGCAAAAACATCATAAATCAAGCGCTCACTAATAGTTTGAATTCGGCTGTCTTAATAATCTTGCAATTGCCACTAAGCTTCTAATTCTTTTGAGGTAATCCCTAACACCCCCACCCCACCCAAAAAAAAAAAAAAAAATTGCTGTTTTCTGTGCCTTGATTTCTTGTGGTTTTGTACCTTATCTGAGATTATTGCCCATTAACTTATTGGAAATGAAATCAGTTTATCCATATAGAATTAGAAGGCATTAGCATCCTACTAATTTGGGCTTATTTGTTGCTTGGTGCCGCCATGGATCATGGTAAGTCCATACAAGCTACGAAGTAGTTATTACGGAGTATTTTTTAAAAAGAAAAAAGAAAACAATTTTGTAGATGCATATATGCAAACAATGAAACAAGCAATTTAAACCCCATTGCTTTGATTGGCCTTAACAATGGTCAGGGTTTTGTAACCTTGTTGGATTAGTCCCTTTATTATGTCTCTTTGGTTGTCCCATTAGTAGAATTTAGCAACATTTACAAATTTCTAACAAATAATCGTTGGTGGTGCTTACTTTGAGCTTATCTTGACCCTAATCTTATCGGTCTAATTCATAATCCTCAAACATTTTGCTATGCATATTCACTTAAATTTTTAGCTAGGATGAATGGATTGGACTTGAAACATTAACATGTGAATTGCAACTTATTAACATTGTTAACATTAACCATACAAAAGTTGCTTCAATGAATTTTTTAATTTCAAATCTTGCCCTTAAGGGTTTAGGACTTTGTTGACCCTATGTTTTTCTTATATATTAGTACTTTATAAACGTAATACTCAAATTTTAAAATTAAGCATCATCTCTTGACAATAGTATTCAACATGCCACTTAGTCATTATATAATAAGAGTAACCAACTCAAGTTGTTTTAACTAAATAACACGATCATCGATGAAATCAATCAAAAAAACTTAGAATTTAAGCTTTGAGCCCAAATTGAACTAGACACACGGAGAATTGATACCTTACGCAAGCCTAAAAATTTGGTAACCAAAGTTGCATATATTTGAAAAAGAGATAAAAGTTAATTTAAGGCGACTTAACTTGTAAAGTTGTACATATCTGTGAAATTAATTAGCTAGTTATTATCTATTCAAACTTCGTTTAATTTCGTCCAAAAATGGACCCAATCTAAACTCATTAGCCCAAGCCTTAAATCTGACCAAAAAATATATCACTAAGAATCTCAATATATAAGTGATTTTAGAGATGACTATTTACATGAAAATATAATGTTGATGTTTAACTCATTCAATTGTCAACCCCTAAATTATTTTGAGAACCGAACTAGCTCGCATCACTTGATTGAGTTAACTTTTACCCAATAAGGAAGGTAAATAGTATAGGGTTGTTTGATTGATAGATTAAAAGTAATTAGATAATAGATAAAAGTGAAATGAAACTTTTTTTATTGTAGGAATGAAACTTTTATTTTTGTTCGTAATCGGAAGCTCCGTATTTAGGCCATCCACGTCCGATGAGGCATAGGAGAAATGTGAATTTTATTTGAAGACGAAGGAAGTCTTTAATAAACTCAAACCAAAATACGAACCAAACTATACGTAAAAACACAAAAAATTTCCTCAAGCTCGAACTGATTCTACTTAGAATCAAACCAACCTAACTTGAAACTCAATTCGAACTCAAACTAATAAACAGTCGTACCCATTCATCCTCACCCGGTGAAAGCTAGCAGAACTTAAACATGTATTAATCCAAAGTAAACTTGAACACCCTATTTGACTGAGTTCATTCATTACAAGAATGATGTACTATTTTTATTATTTAAACATCTTTGGAAAGGAATAAAAGGGGACGTTGGATGCTAAAGATCCAGCAAAAAGGAGTATCACTAGCTCACCATGTTCTCACTCAACCATTGACATTTGACAATTCTCCCCATCAACTAGCCTCATGTAAAGTACAATCCAAGCACCATAATTAAATTAAACAACAATATGACCAAATCACCAACAAAATTTAAAAAACGTAAAAAAATAATTCTTTATATTAAAAATAAAAGTAATATGAAAAAGGACAGAAAAATCCAAGAAGAAAGATGCAGTGATACACAACCATGCAAACACCAACACCAACACCATAACAACAATTACAACGTTCTGTTGACTCCTTCTGTATCCATTTATACTTCATTTTTATACTACTATTTATTTTCAAAAATTAAATAAAATAAAATTAAAATTAAAAAAAATTAATGAATAAAATTAAATTCCATCTCCCAACTCTCCCTAATTAATACGGAGTAACTCATTTTCTCTCTCATAATTTTTATTTTTTATAATTTTCTCTCTCTATCACTTTCTCCCTCTTCACTTCACCCCCCACTCACCTCCACTTCACTACCCAACAAACCTCCTTTTTCTTCCTCCTCCTTCTCCATCTTCTTCCTCCCACCCGACCCGAACCCGACCCATTCAACCCGAACCCACCTCCATTTTCACTTTCTCTCTCCTCTCCTTCAAAAACCCTAAAACCCCACCTCCTCGATCTCACCCTCCCATTGCCAAAACCCCGATTTTGCTGCCGACAACCTACGGCAGCGAACACGGTGGTTCCGGGTGTTTTTCCGGCGGAATCAACGGCGGTTGTGGTGTCGGAGAGAGAAAGTAAGAAAGTTACGAGGATGTATAAGAACCAGCTACAAGAGCTGGCACAGAGGAGTTGCTTTAACTTACCCTCGTATACTTGCATTCGAGAAGGTCCCGATCACGCGCCTAGGTTTAAGGCCATCGTTAACTTCAATGGCGAAAGCTTTGAGTCTCCTCAGTATTGTTCTACGCTTCGTCAAGCTGAACACGCCGCCGCCGAAGTTGCGCTCAATTCTCTCTCTTCTCGCGGTCCTTCTCACTCTCTCGCTGCCAGAATCCTGGTTGGTTTCTCCCTCTTCTCTTCCAGAATCTTCTTGATCTCCTCAATTTTATGGGAATGTTGTTTGATTTTGTTGGAATTTTGCCCTAATTTTTGGGAGATAAAAAGGGGTTTTAATTTTTTTTAATTAATAATTCTGGGTAAATGTTGATCAAACCTGGGATTTTTTGAATTGTGATTTAATAAGTCAAATGTTGCAGAAGACTAATTAAATTTCGTGAAATTGATTTCAGGTTGGTTTTTTGTACTGTATTAATTTTATTTTTGCTTGTTTTGGGTATGTATGTTGATCAACCCCTTTATTAACTCATGAACTAAATGCGGTAAGTTACTTAAAATTGGAATTAAAAATTAATAGTTTTCAATGTATATTATGATGGGATTGTGTAAAAGAGGGGTTTTTGCTTGTAATTTTCTTGGAATGTATGAAGTTTTAGCATGTGAATTAAGGTGGAAAATTTGAAAACTCGAGGTAATGAGGAAGTCTAGATAGCTCTTTGCTTAAATAGTAATTCAGCTTGGATTGATTAACCATCTAATGTAGTTGCATTAGGTGGGTTGGCTACTGTCATTAGTGGTCCTTACTGCTTTCATTTGATAACTTCTCAGTTTACGACAGCTATTGTGGATTAGCGGCCACGATGGGTTTAAACATATAACTAAAAATTTGCTCGCAAAATTTGAGCTTAATGTGTTTAGCCACAAAATGTGTATAATGCTGTGATGAATTGGTGTTTATGATTGCATTTGTTGAGATGATTATGTCTATATATTAATAGAATAATAAAGTTCTTGTATCCTTAAATTGTGGTATTTCGGATGCCTTTGGTGGTTGGAAGGCGAAATGTATGACCTTTTTTATGGATTGCAAAGAGAAGTAATTGAAGGCCTGGAACAAATAGAACAACATAGATATTAGTGTAGTTCCATGGCTATTCTATTGGGCTAGATTAAATGTCTATACAAGTCTACATGCAGCTCCCCAATTGTTGATAGTTGGTAAAGTTGCAAACTGTTTTGTTTCCCTTCTCCCCTTTAGTTTGCTCCTCTGCCACTTTGTACATGCTTATTATAACGGGCGCCTTCTGCTCTAAGTTGTTGTCAATGTTGGATTTTTTAAGGATGTAGTCCGCCCTCTGTTCTTTTGCAAAGTTTCTTCAGTGCTACTTGAAAAAATATGATCTTTTGCAATCTTATGAATTAGCTCAATATATTATTATTTTTAAATAAATCAATATGGGGTTCTGAGACTGATTAATTTGTTTTCTTTTTGAAATTTAGGATGAGACAGGGGTTTACAAAAACCTTTTACAAGAAATTTCACAAAGAGTTGGAGCTCCATTGCCACATTACACAACTTACAGATCGGGCCTAGGGCATCAACCTGTTTTCACTGGTAAAGTGGAACTTGCTGGTATCATATTCACAGGGGAGCCAGCCAAAAATAAAAAACAGGCAGAGAAAAATGCAGCTTTGGCTGCTTGGCAGTCTCTAAAACAATGTAAGTAATTTCATTTGGTTTCATTTAATCATGAGACATCAGATTAAAAACGTTCCTTCACACCGTGAGTTGCATGGATAATTTAGTTCTTGCATCAGTTTCATTTTATGATCTCACTAAACCAGGCTCTTATTTAGCAAAATGACATAGACCCTTTTTAAAGTATAAGGTGGTCTTTGTATACGAAGAGATTGTTCTAAGTTGGCTTGAAGTATTAATTTAGTGTCATCTGAACAGTGGCACAACAGTCGGGGAGCTCATCATCATCATCAGAGCAAGAAAACAGTGACGAACTTGAGCAGGTGACTATAGCCCGAGCTTTGTTGAGTTATCGGCTGAGGGAGAGGATGACAACTGCATCAAGTAAACCCTTGCCATTCCCCCAAACATTCCCAATCCAGAATCCAAGGCCTTCAAGCCCACAGCGTCGTCCAGTGACAGCATCCAAGATTCTTCCGCTCATCTGCCCAAAGAAGACACCACCTCGAGTCCGACCCTTGTCATTTTCATTATCTGATAATATGGTCCCATCATCCCAGTCCCAGATTCCAGAATCCCGAGGAGCTCAGTCCCAGAGATTCTTAGGCATGGGGGCACCTCCATACATTCCAATACGCCATGTGCGATCACCGTGCCATGGTATTGCACAGCCAGTGACTATTAGGAATTCTGTGCCTTGCTACTCTGCACCACCCATTCCCCGATCATCAGCTGCAGCTCCTCCGGTAATGAGAACAGCTCCACCTGTGCGCATTGCACCACCAGTATGCATCAGGCAAAGTATTCCTGTTTTCTCTGCTCCACCATGTCCAAAGGAGAACCCATCAACTGTTCCTCTTCCGGAGTCTAGCAAAGCTTTAGATAAAGTAGAAGCAGTTCAGGAATCAGCTGAAAGAGAATCTCAAGAATCTACAAAATCTGATCCGATTGTGAAACCTCTTCCCCCATCCACTTTGTGTCCTACTGTGACAAGGGCTTCCCCTGTTCGAATTGCACCGCCTGTCTGTATTAGACAGGCTAATCCTGTTTGTGCTGCCCCACCACCTGAAAAGGGTAGTCCAGCATCATCAATGGAGCCAAGAGATCCTGTTAGGGAGGTGGCTTGTGAAGAGGAAACTCAAAATTCAGCAGTAGAGAAGTTGAAACAGCTCAAACTCTGAAAAATGCTTGTAAGGAGGAATGTAGATCTCTAGGAGTATCACATCAGGGAGTATGATTTTGGTTCTGGTTTTTGATCTTTGGTTGTCGATGCCATCTTGTATGAATGTCCACCCCCCGTTTTCTGTCTTTTTTTTTTCTCCCTTTTTTAGTTTTATTGTATTTGAGTTGGCATATCGTCGATGTTTCTCTATAGCTATATCCCTTGAAACCAATATATTAGTAACTTAATGTTAAATTGGCTCAGCAGCCAAGTATCAAAAATGGTTTACCATATTGTTTGAGGTGGTGCTTTTACAATTTTGTCAGCATTACAGTGCAGCGTGGTCTTTCTAGTATCCTAAACACAGCTAAGAGTACGCATTGTTGTTCATGTTATTGAAGTTATCATAATTACACACTTGTAGACGTCCTCGTGGACAGAACAAGACCTTAGTGTGCCTCAGGTCCATGTATCGGTCAGCCCATTGGACATAAATCGCAGGAGTGAGTTCAAGTGTCATCCCACATCTTGCTCAGGGCTGTGCTCATAAGCCGTGCATGGTGTCTACTACCAAAAGAACTGATTTCGCTCACATGTCCTTTTGCTGTTGGCCCTGTTACCAGTCTATCAGTTACAATGTTAGCGTAAACTGCTCCCTCTTTTTGATAGTGGAAGGCTCACTTACTCTGCAGAATGCAAATTTATGCTTGGCTCTAGAAGGAAAAGATAAAGGGAAATGATTGATTTACTACCTTTTTTCCGTTAAGAGGCATGAGTAGATGATGAATGCTTAGAACAGGGCCTCACTTTATGCTTTTAGAAGGTAGTGAAAAAAAATTAAAATTATTATATACTTTATGGAGTTTATGAATTATGATACTTGTTGTTGTCCCCTTAGGTTTTTCATGAATAATTGGCCTCTCAGAAGTCATAACCTTTTGACATAATTGGGATAATTATGCTGGGACATAGGGTTTTTTAAAGTTGTGTGGAGGTTGACAATTTACTGTAACCCACCATATATCAAACTCAATCGAGACTTGAAAAAAAAAAATTAAGTATCAAATTAGACTGTTGGAATTACTTTTGTTAATTAATTTATATAATTTGGTATGGTCTTTGAGTTCTTAGATACTTCTCCGTTTCTTTTTAGTTGACACATTTTTTAAGTCACGTTTGTCAATGCACAACTTCAATCAATAATAACTTTAATTACAGATAAACAAAAATTATGAAAAATTGATATTTTGAAAATATATATTGTGACGAATCTAAAGAGATCCCACATGACTATATTTTTCATTACATATAAAACACAAAACACGGTCAAATGAGAGCGAGTGAATAGTGCTAAAGTCAAAACGTGTCAACTAAAAAAAAAACGGAGGTAGTATATATTAAGAGAATTGGGTACCATTATAAATTTCATTTCATAGGGATCTTGCTAACCAAACGTCTCTGGGCGTTAGATAATCATTTAAAATATATCTTAAAATGGTATAAAACTGGTAATACATGCCAAAATCATTCGTCGATCGATGTAATTAATAAATAACTAAATACTCCCTCCGTATTTTAATAAGTGTTACACTTCTTTTTTTTGGTAAAAGCTAAATTTAAATATAATATCTCTCTGATCTCATGATCTCCACCTAAACCCAGTACTACTACTTTTTTTTATTATTTATTTCCTCTCACATTCATTACTTTTCAATAAACTATTAACCTCACTTTCCTTCTTTTACAATTTTTTAATACTCCAACTACCCTACTTATTTTATTTAAGTCAATTATATTACTTAAAATTATGTGCCGGACAAAGTGTAATACTTATTAAAACACGGAGGGACTACAATTTGTGTTTATCGAGGATCTAGTTTGAAATGGGCCTTGTAAAATTTGATCCGATTAAGAATTTGGTTTTGGAAAATTGAGTTCACAATGCGATCTACTTATCTACCAAATATGATCCAAATTAAAATATGGTGGTTTGGTCCAAACTAAAATCGAAATAATTACTTTGTTTTTTTATCCATATGTTTGTTAAATGATGACATACAAAATTCTTACAAATTGCCCACAATCTTGAAACAAAATTCTTACAAATTGCCCACAATCTTGAATATTTTTTTTTTAACCCTTATTAATTTATAGTGGAGAGTCTCCTTATGGTGAGTTAGTGACTTGATGGTCATTAGTGTAGTTGTCCGATCTCCCTTATGAAATTATCGTATGTTAAGGTGAATAAATAAGTTTTTCATCTTTTTCCTTGTAATTAGTTTGTTGGTAAAAAATTTGTACATGATGAATGATCATCAAATTTTCAAATACGGTCAAATAATCAAATGAAAATCATCCTCATAACCACAACAAATTGTTAGACCTTCTATCCTAAAAAATTGTAATAGCGATATGTGCAAAGATATACAACGGCATTGTAAGATCTAACCAACGTTTGTATTTTTAATGAAGGAAACCTTTGTCAAATTCAATTTTCTACGTATTGTTAATTTTGATTTTCTTTGTAAATGATATTTGGTTCTTTATTGATGAATTTTATTTTATTATTATTTTTTTAAAAAAAGAAAATGAAAAACAACAAAAGGAGCAAGCCCTTATTCGGGCAAGGTCCAATCGGCTTTGTAAGACTGTTACCCCTTTGACTTTCACCTTCCCCTTCCCCTTTGTAATGGAAAAGTAAAGCAAATCATGTTGAGATAGATTAGATAGTAACATCTCAACTCCTAATTGGCATTGACGGTGTAACCTCATCAATTGTATGTGGAATTAACTTTTTGTAACCATAAAATACTTACAAAAAACACACTGATGAAACTAAAAAATATACGATAATAAAAATAATTTAAATATGACATATGATAATAAATATAGAATTTGTGAGTCTACCTCAAAGAAAATACGAGCCAAATTCAATGAATATAATTTGTATTATTGAAACCCAAAAAATATGTTTAATCAACATATGTTAAATAATAACATAAGTTATAATGTATAACATATAGTTGATACCCAAAGAACACAATGATCATACTCAAAGAAAATATTACAAGTATGTTCTTTGTCAAACACATGTATGTTATTTCCGCTTTTTTTTTTGGTTTAACAAGGTGTACCATGCGGATGATACACCCGAATGTACTATCCTATTTTCATAGAGTTGATACTAATCATTTTTGTAATAAATGCATCTTTTTCAAAATGTCAAGGATTTCAAATGTAGTATTCACAAGCTTGAAAGACAAAGAATTTAGGAGGCGCTAACTTAGCCAGCGAAGGAAGTCTCAGCTAGTTCGATCAAGTATCAATACACACTAATTTTATGGTTTGTACTCTTTATTTGCATATGTAATATAAAAAAAATACAAAGTTATATCCTTTGGTTATTCAAAGTTAGTTAGATAATAATAATAATAATAATAATAATAATAATAATAATAATAATAATAATAATAATAATAATAATAATAATAATAATAATAATAATAATAATAATAATAATAATAATTAAGGTTTAACCTTTATCATTATACAATATGCAATAATGAACGAGATAATTGAGTTATCAAGATAAGTTGACTTATTAAAGTTTGAGTATCAATAGTCTTACTTGCACAAAGTGTTGATGAGTTGCATATATATATATTTATAAAAACACAAATGTATGTATCAGTTCTTTAGGTCCATAAAGGATGAACTAGGTCTAAGAAATTTAAGGTCATCAGCTATTCAGTCATGCATTAAGGAAAATCAAGTCATCAACCACGAGATTTAGTATGTTTCGGCGGAATACATTTTCAATATCAATAAGGAAACAATTTTTTTATTTTATTTAATTCCATATAAGAAATTAAAGTTATTGAGAAAAGATATTAGTAAAAAGGGGAAAAAAATATATATGGAGTAACACCCCGATTTTATTTATTCAAAAAAAAAAAAAAAGACAAATGTACAAGTTATATAAACATTTGAGAAAGGTTATTAGGCCAATTAGCCATATTGGTATAAAAGTTAGCATCCTTGTGACATATTGGTATAAAAGTTATCGTCGGCGACAGATAAGTATTAAAGTTAGCAAGTTGTGACAGATTGGTATAAAAGTTAGCCATCGACGACATATTGGTATAAAAGTTACCATGTGATGACATATTGGTATAAAGTTACCATGTGATGACGTTTAAACATTTTTCTTGTTAGAATAATAAGCGTATATTGTACAAATGATTATTCTTATTATTGTAGCTTAAATATATAGTTTTTCTTTTTTTTTTTTTTTTTTTTTGTCTTTTTCTTGCTTCAAATATTTATTGTAAATTTCTTGGACACTATTAAAAGCGACAAATTCTTGAAAAAGGCCGGCTTACACTAACTTAGTGTAAAACCGGCCCACTTCTCTCTTCTGGACTAGGCTCACACGTGCCAGTCCAACGGTTATTTTTTTTTCCGTTTTTTTTTTTGTTTTTCATTTTAGCACGTCTTCAATTTATTTCTCTGTTTCTGCTCTGCAATTTCTCTCTCCTCTATTCATATTTCTCTGCAATTTCTCTTCATCTTTCCTTTGTTTTGTTGATTTTCTTTAGTTGACAATTTGAATTTTGGATTCTCATCGGTTTTTGAGGTTAGTTTTAAAATTATTTTTGGTTTTAATCGCATAATTTTTGCTCATTAGTTGTTGTAATTGTTGATTTGTTATGGTTTTTCATTTTACATGTGTATTATTAACTTGTAATTCTCTACTTTATTTCAATTTTTAAGTAGAATTCTTTGTTTTTGTTGTATTCGTAAGTATATTAGTTTGATTTTTGGTTTTTTGTTTTTTATCATAATTTTGTTCATATTTTATGGTTTCCTGGTTCATTGTGTTCATATTAGATTGAATGTTTTAGGTGTTACTATTTTTTTTTTTCTAGTTTTTTCATGCATTTTCATTCAATTTGTTGTTGATGTCAGTATTTGATTAATTAATCGTTCTTATTTTGAATTTTAGGGTTATATTTCTTGAATTTGCGATGGTGAAGTTTAGAGGCGGTCGTTCGAATTTTCGAAGGAGACGTGGTTTGCGAAGCTCTGTTGGTGGATCTGATGATGCTCAAGGTTTTACCAATTTCTCTATTTACAGTTACAATTTCTTGATTTTTGTACATTTGTTAAAGTTACATAATTAGTTGTTATAGTTATATAAATGTTTGCTTAAGTTATGCTTTATGTTTTATTATGTCAGATTGTTTTATAAAAGTTATGTTAATTATAGTTGTAGTTATACTTTTTTTAGTTAAAGTTATGATTTACAGTTTAATAC